GGTGGCTCAGGAGCTCTGTGGGGAGAGAAAAGGGGGTGAGAGCAAAAGGGCTGGGGGGGCAGGGGGGGCCCAGAGGCTGTGGGAGAGCAAGGGGGGGGACACGACCCCCGGGGACCCCCCTTTACCTTCTCCCGCAGGTAGAAGCCGAGCCCCAGCGCCAGGAAGACCAAGCCCAAGACGAAGCCCCCGACCCCCACCAGGATCTTGCTGCGTACGGTGTCCGGTGGCATCTCTGGGGGGAGCCGGGGGGGTCAGCACCCCAAAACCTCCCACACACCCCACAAACCCCAGCCCAGTCTCCCCCAGCCCACCCAGGACCCCCTCAAACCTCCTGCCAGTCCCTTCCCAGCCCCTTTAGGGATCCTAACAAGCCCCTCCCAGACCCTTCGGGACCCTCCCACCCCCCTCCAATCACCCCCAGAACCCCCCTGAACTCCTCCCAGTCCCTTCCCAGCCCACCCACCACTTCCCCAATCCCCTCCTGCTCACCCAAGCCCCCCCCATCCTCCCTCCCCTCCCACCTGGGCTCCCCCAAACTCCCTCCCAGTTGTCCCCAGGACTCCCCAAAGCCCCTGTCAGCCCTCCCAGCACCCACCAACCTCCTTCTCAGTGTTTCCATTGCCCCCTGAGCCCTTACTCTTTTCCCCCAGTGTCCCTCCCAGTGTCCCCCAGTGTCCCCCTTTCCCCCCGGCCCCCCTGGCAGTGTGCCCCCGGGGCTGGGGGGGCCGGGCCGTACCCCAGTGCCGGCTGAGGGGGTGCTCCAGGCTGACGTGCTCCACCTGGCAGCTGTAGGTGACCCCGCGCCGGGGGGGGATTTCCAGCCTCACCAGCACCTGGGAGGTCCAGTCCCCGTTGGGGACCACGTCGGTGGCCACCACGTGCTCCGGCAGCTCCTGCCCATCCTGGAACCACCTCACCTGCACCGGCGCAGGGTAGAAATCCATCACGGAGCAGAGCAGGCGGCCGGGGCCGGGCTGGGAGCTCGACGGCACCAGCGAGATGGACACGCTGGGGGGGCACTGGGAGGGACGGGGGAGACACTGGGCTCAGCTGGGGGGCACTGGGAGGGAGGGGAGAGGGCTTGGAGGACATTGGG